TGTATATATCCTACAAAAGGCATCGAAAAATTTGCAGACTTTGCCCACATACTTGACAAAGGATAAGAAAGACAGACACGTCAATCTCCTACTTATCCAAGATCAATACTTTGATGAGAAAGATGCTTGCGAAACATCCCCCACCAAGTATCATTATGTGTGGGTGAAGGATCTGTCCAGACTTCTTTCTTCTCAGCTCAGTAAAGAGGGACATAAGAAGTTCTTCTGCGACCGCTGTCTCCATTATTTCCGGTCACAAGATAAGCTTAATAAACATGTCGAGAATTGCGTGAGGATAAATGAGACCGCAATCAGAATGCCTGAGGAGGGGAAAAACATTCTGAAATTTAAAAATCATAAAAACAAGGAGAAGGCCCCATTCATAGTTTATGCTGATTTGGAGTCTGTTTTGGAGAATACTGGAGATCCTAAGAAGCCTCAGCACCACGTTCCAGCTGCCGTCGGATACTTCATGAAATGCTCCTACGACGATTCTCTCTCCTTTTATCGTTCGTACCGAGGGCAGGACTGTATGGCGTGGTTCGCTGATGAGCTCAACCAGTTGGCCGAGGATGTGTCTACGGTATTTTATGTCCATATAACATCACTATGTCTACTGAGCAGGAAGTTGAGTTTCAAAGAGCTAAACATTGCCATATTTGCGAACAGCCTTTTGGACCTACCGATAAGAAAGTTCGTGATCATAATCACCTGATTCCGGAAAACAACTACAGAGGTCCTGCGCATGAAAGCTGCAACGTTCGATACCAGGACAGCCATGTGGTGCCAGTTGTGTTTCACAATTTGAGTGGTTATGATGCAAATTTTATTATCGAAGATATAGCATCCAAAATGAAGGGCAAAATCGATTTATTACCAATCACTAAAGAGAAATATATATCCTTTACGAAACATGTTGATGAGACATCAATTCAGTTTCGTTTCATTGACTCATTTCGCTTTATGAACTCTTCTCTAGATATGTTGGCATCATATCTGGAGGAATTTCCAAATTTAAAATCACAATTTTCTAATATTTCCAATGATCAGCTCCAGTTGTTAACTAAAAAAGGAGTGATGCCCTATGATTATATCGACTCATTTGAAAGATTCGATGAAACTCAGCTTCCTCCGATAGAGTCATTTTACAGTAAATTGTATGACAAACCATGCCCCCGTAGACACTACCTTCACGCCAAGCTGGTATGGTCGAAATTTGGCTGTAAAGACTTGGGTCAATATGTTGACCTCTACATGAAAACGGACATTATGCTGTTGGCCGATGTTTTCGAGAAGTTTCGATCTAGCTGCCACAATACCTATGGTCTCGATCCTGCACACTATTTTACGCTGCCTGGCTTCACGTGGGATGCTATGTTGAAACATACGAAGCAGGAGTTGGAACTGCTTACCGATGTAGACATGTTTCTATTTGTTGAGCAAGGTATCCGAGGAGGATTGAGCCAAGTTTGTTCTAAACGAAGAGCTCAAGCAAACAACAAGTACATGCCTTCGTATGATCCAGCAAAGCCCGACTCATATCTGATGTATTATGACGTGAACAATCAATATGGGTGGGCTATGTCTCAGGCATTGCCATATGGAGGATTTGAATGGGTCGACACTAATCTTGATGTCACAACCGTTGCTGATGATGCTTCAGAAGGATACATATTGGAGGTTGACCTAGAATATCCTAGACACCTCCATGATTCCCACAAAGATATACCGTTCTGCCCCGAACACATCAACCCGAAAACTATGAAACCTCCGACAAGATCTTCCCAACCCACCAAGCTGATGGCAACGCTGAACCATAAAACACGCTACGTCATCCACTATCGAGCCCTCAAACAAGCGCTGGAGCATGGGTTGGTCCTGACCAAAATTCATCGCGTTCTCAAGTTCCAGCAAGCTACGTGGTTAAGATCATACATAGACCTAAACACTGAACTCCGAAAACAAGCAAAAAATGTGTTTGAGAAGAATTTGTTCAAGCTCATGAACAACGCTGTTTTTGGTAAGACAATGGAAAACGTAAGAAAGAGGGTGAACGTGCGACTATTGACAGAGTGGGCCGGAAGATATGGTGCAGAAGCTTTCATTTCCAAACCCGAATTCAAGAACTGTACTATATTTAACGAGAACTTGGTAGCAGTCGAACTAGGAAAATTGGAAATCTGGCTGAATAAGCCTATCTACGTCGGTCAGGCCATTCTCGATCTCGCCAAGACTACCCTATATGACTTTCACTACGACTATATGGTTCATACATTCCATGATTGCTCCGTTCTGTACACTGATACTGACTCGCTCATCTATGAGATTATTGATCAAGATCCATATGCAGTCATGAAGCGAGATTGCCATACCCACTTCGACACTTCAGACTATCCCAGCGATAATATCCACGACATTCCTCAGGTCAACAAGAAGGTGTTGGGAATGATGTCAGATGAAAACAAGAGTCGAATAATGACGGATTATGTAGGTCTACGATCAAAATTATACTCTATAAAGGTGCTGGTGACTGATGATGATATTGTGAAGAAGAGGGCAAAGTTGCAAGCGGAGGATTATGATGAGGATGAAATCAATGAAATCATAAGAAATATTGGTGTGACGAAGAAAGCTAAAGGAGTGAAATCGTCTGTAGTTGAAACGAATATTATTTTCAAAGATTACGTTGAATGTTTGGAATCTTATAAGCAGAAAACAGTTTCACAAAATTTCATCAGAGCCCAAAAACATGCTGTATTTTCAACAACCCAGCAGAAGATAGCATTGAGCGCGACTGATGATAAACGATACATGATTCCTGGTACTACTGAAACTCTACCCTGGGGCCATCATTCAATTTCATCAGCAATGACGTCAGATGATGAGACAATGGAAATATAAAATTTATATGTACATATTATGTGGAAAATAAATTATTTTAATCGACATCTATAGTATCTTATCAACATCTTCGCAAGTAGTTAAAAGTAGGCCTCGAAAGGGGGAGGTTTCTTCTACTCAAAATAAAGAAACTAACGAGACCGGAACCCAAACCTCATGTCGCACTCAGCATGCTCAGTGCGCTTTCTGTGTGGGTGTTTCCGTGCGAATTTCCATGAAATTCTAGATTTCCATGGGGGATGTGAATGTGCACTTAGGATGTTGGGTACGCTAAGGTGGTCTGGAATTTGGGTTTGTACATTCGATTCGCCCTGTATATACGTTTCATTTGGAATAAATAATACATTCTCTATCGATATAACAGGATGCATGCGATATGCGTTATCGTTTATGTACAAATTCTCTTCTAGTCTTGAAACTACGTAACTACACTTTTTACCTACAGTTGTTGATTGAATCGATCACATCAGTTTGATTTCGCGGCATATATTTTTCCTGAGTGCCAGTATTGCGAAAAATGTGTATGTGGAAATGCTGGATTTCTGCTTCTCAGATTGATCCCAGGTATTTATATAGTCTTACTCGAAATGCATTGTATACGAGATGGTGTTTTTTTTTGGAATGAGTATTAATTTTCATTACATCAATATGATACACAGCCTAAGGCCCCCATGATATCAGAATTCTTATCATCCACTGAATAAAAGTGAGAGAGAAATCGAGTATACAACAATTTAAATGATTATTGTCATGTTATGATAGTGCCTTTCGCACAGAGGCGTCGCCAGAATTGCTACAGTGCCGAAAAAGGGGTATAACCCTCCAAATTTCATTTTGATATCTAGATTTTATTTGTGTCATTCGATAATTCGATCAAATATTTGCATCTACTTCAATGCCGCCCAGTATATAGGGAAGTTAGATAATGGATATTTGTCTATAAGTCAAGGCCTATTATTTCTCCAACATTCCTATACATTCCTCCGAGAGGTCGAACCTATAGTGACCGTCCATAACCTTCAACGTCCCTAAGCCTTATAAGTTTTAATTGAGCGTTATATTATGCTACATGCTAACTGAGCGCTCCCCTGTATATATTTTTATTGCTATCCAAACACCCTGTATAATGATCGGAATCGTCAACTAGCGTCATCTGTCACACTTTTGCTGAGTCCACCTTTAACTTCTTACCACGAGTGCCCTATATAAGTTTGTATTGCTATTATTGCTGTATATCGAACGGATACTATATCATACGTATGTTTGCTACCCCGTGAGACACCCTATTATTTCTTATCGCTATTGCTAACTCAGACCAGGATATATCATGTTATTGAACGAGTTTTGATAAAGAGTTGTTCGACATATTTCCATCACATAACTGAACGTTTACACACACACACACACACACACACATTTCAAATGATATCTCATAAACCTTGAGACTTTGCATATGGACGAACCAGTATTGGAATGCTCGCGAAAAATCCTTCTCTTAGAGTACCTGCACCCCCTCTTCAACCCTCTGATACCTCAAAGTATTACTGCGGATCACCCTGTATATATTTATCGACTAATATACAACTCAAATACCCTATATATTAGATTGAATCATTAGCTAGCGGGTAGCCTATATGCTGGTCACCTAGTCACGTGTCATCAATCTTTGTCATCTGTCACACGTCAGCTGCCTAATCTCTCAAAAGTGGGTAGGTCGCCCTGTATATTTTTTGACTGTTATCCATCTCAAACGCTCTGTATATATCATTAGCTAGCGGGTAGCCTATATGCTAGTAGTCTACTCGTCGGGGAGGTATAACGCCTTTTGGGTTCACTCTATATATTTTTTCCCCAACTATTAGCCAACTCATACACCCTGTATATAGCCATTATTGATTGAAAAATGTATCGAAATGCGCGCCGTTATCTCTAGAACGGATCTCTCGCGTCGCTCGTTGGATGACCTTGAAAGGAACCAAAAATTGCAGAATGAACCTTAACTTTTCTTATGGAGATTAACATGGGAAAAGTGACGTTTTGATTCTGGAACCGGTGCAGCTCCTTTACTGTTAATATACAATATTGTTTAGATTCCATACCTTGGACCAATTTAAACTCGGCAATTTCTCCAGCGCCCTCATCACCAATGTGGTTCCCTCGAAAGTAACGACCGCATTAGGTTGGCAGGAATGATCAACTACCGATGCAGCCAAATATATTCCGGTCCCTATACTATGGAACTCTTGGTTGCAAATACTGAAAGAATTGACACACATCTGACAACGAGAATAATGCGATGTATTTGTTATTTTTTGACTCGATAGTACCTTGACATTTTACGCTTATTGAAGAGTAAAGTCATCACCGAATGAAATGTCATCTGAATACACCTTTCTCTACAACTGCTATGAAAAGTAGCAAATTTCTCATAGCTTACTTAGTTTCAAAGCTCATACTGTGAGAAATATTTTTTTCCACGGCACTTTGCCTATACCACATACATTTTATTTGGAGAATAAACTAGAATCGACAAAAACTGTCAACAAGAGTTTTTCGAATTCTTGAGTTAGTTACCAGTCGTGTTGTGATAAAAAGTCGCAATTTTCATTGAATATATCGTTTCAGTAAGACATAATAATTTGTAAGAGTGATAGGTGAATAATATGGATACTAATGAAAGTAGTGACGATTTTGACAATACTCCACCAGAAATATTGGAACAAGCTGCGAAAGTAACATTAGATTTGTTGCCGAAAATTTCACGGAAGAAGTATGAATTGACATATGGAAAATTCATAGAATGGAGAAGAAATACGAAAATAAAATCTTTTTCGGAATGTGTATACTTTTAAGAAATGTCGAAAACTTTGATGGCGTCTACACTTTGGTCACAATATTCGATGTCGCGGAGTACCATCAGTTTCAAACGTAACATTAATATATCCACGTATCAAAAATTACGTTCATTTTTGAAAAGGAAGTCTGGCAATTATTTTCCCAAGAAATCAAACATATTAACAACCAACCAATTGCAGAGATTTTCGAACGAAGCTCCAAACAAACAAACATATCTACTAATAAAAGTGAGTTTATTATTTAAAAGGAACTATTTTCGAATTTCTTTCGATTTTTTCCTCCAATTAACAGCTCTTCATAGTTAATGGGTGTATTCAGAGTAGAAAAAAATAATTTGATCATTACAAATTCTATTTCAAATTGTGTTAGATCGGTATGTACTTTTCAACGTACATTTAAAAAAGGCTTCATGGTATAGTGGATAGTGTCTCCGCTTGGCAAACGGAGATTTTTTGTTTTTTCAAAATTTTATTTTTTTCTCGATGGACCGGAAACACTCCCTGCACTGATTATGTATGAGCGACTCCCCCGCCCCTCTGGGTACCCACAGCGAGATTACCTATATAAAGGGCCTAGCCCTAGGAGATGGGTTTCTGTGACGAACACTTCTATCTATTTTATCATAAATGTTGTGTTAGAAAGTGTAGTATGTAACTTCGTAATGAATATAAACGACTTTGAAACGCTTGACAAACAGGCGGCCCGGATTCAATACCCGGTCTAGAATATATTTTTTTAAATTTTTATTTAAAATATTCTACATCCTGATATTTATATTTGTAGGTTGCAGTGGCTATTGACGTAGGAGGAGCATGTCGTAGAGAGAAACTGTGGAAATTAAAAACCGATGATTTAGAGGTTTTTAATTCGGCTTTATTGGGGAAATTAGACAACACCAAAACTAAGAAGCCAAGAACGTTCACAGTCACGGAAGAATTTTATAATACATATAAAAAATATGATGTTCTTAGACCGAATGATTTGCCAGAAAGACGTTTCTTTCTTAATTATCAGAACGGAAAATGTACTAGACAGGTAGCAGCATTGCATTTTTTTTTCAATTGGAAAACCCCATCTATATTCAGGAAATTGCATCAGACGTTCTTCAGCAACAATCTTAGTAAACGCAGGAGGTGACATATTAACCTTGAAGCGCCATGGAGGATAACAATCCGGTACCGTGGCAGAAGGATACGTCGGGGACTCTATTAAAAATAAAATGTATGTTGCCAATAAAATCGTCAATTTTATTGGAAAACCACTCGAACTATTTACTGAAATGGAGACAGAAAATGCACCACCGTATATGAATAATCAACCTTCAACCTCAACTTCTACAATCAATAAAACAGACAATTTACTCAAAAACAATAACTCTTCTGGTTTGACCATAGAAAATTGTAATAATTTCACAAATAACTTCAATTTTAAATGAATAATTCGACTGTTAAGAGGTCGGATACTTGACCATACAAAATTGTAAGAATTTCACAATTAATTATAATTATTTTAAATGAATAATTCAACTGTTGAGAGGTAGGATACTTTGATGTTATGTTAGTTCTGCTATATAACCATTAAAATGAATATTGAGGTACACTGTTGTTCAAATATGTGCAGTTGTAGAAAAAGTTCTTTCCACACTGGTGAGAAAAGTTGAACTTTTCCCACTTATTGCACAATATACTATTTCCAACAATTCGCAATAGAAAACAACAATCGGAGTTCTTGAAAGCTGTCAATGCGGTCTGTTCACTTTTTTTTATTATTGGGTCACATTAGTTTTTTGTTTGTGCTTTTATTGGTCACATCCATCTAAACACACCGCTCAGAAGTACCTATTCAATTTGTTACCGTCACGTTGGGCGAAATTATTTTCTATCGCGAATGGACCGGAAAAGCTTGACGTCACAGATGACAGTTCATGTCAGACATTTTTCCTTTCAAGAAATGAAAAAGATATTTGTGTTTTTTTCGTCGTGACTTCTTTCTAGGTGAATTGAATGATAATATATGCTAATAAACGTCGACTAAAATTGATGGCGATTATGAAGTTTTTTAGAGATGAAGAGAAACTGATAACTTCAGAAAATTAAACTGAGTCTGGACAGAATGAAAAACAGTGAAAGTGATATATGATAATCTTTGGAAGAAGTCCATGGTAACTCAAAGTGAAGTCGTGTAGTTCATAAATGAAAACTCAAAGTAATCTCCACAACTTTTATTAGAATTATCGTAACGGAACATGTTTCGGGCTTATATAAGCCCATTATCAGCCAATAGAAAGTATCATAGTTATGGAAATGAAAAAACTAGACATACAAATAGTAATAACAGGGCAAACAGCGAAATATGCCCCATGATTGTCTCTGTAAAATGATATGAATTAAAAAAAAACGCGGTCAAGGGTCGGTTCATATTTTGCAAAGGCACACGTGCCCTTGAATTACCGAAAGGTGATAATCAAACGTTGAAAAATCAAACTATAAAGTTTGATGAGGCATCAAAATCAACCTGAATAGCCATTTATGAACAAAACATGTCGATGACGTTAATGAACAAAATCAAAACAATGCTTTATCGTGGTAGGTATTTAAAGTAATTCCAATACATGAGAATAGGACAATGGAAAACATCGCTATATCTTGAGACGTTATTTGTCAATCACACTGTATACTGTGAGGAATAGGAGATAACATGAATTGACATTTCGTACATTAGTTCAAAGTCCTGTCAGATCGCTAAACGTACGAACGCGCCACAAAAATTACCTTTAGGAAATCCTCATTCTCTCCATAGTATAAAATGTCAAGGCACACACGTTTGACTTACCCTACCATACATTCCCATTAATTCGGCTGAATTTGGTAGAATCTCATCGAAAAATTCATATAGAACTCCGTATAAAGATGAGAAATGTTCCATTCTACTTTGATCATTTTTAAGATTCGGATAGTCTAAAAATCAATATCATGAGTTCTCATAGCATTCAAGAAACTGTTAAATTAATTAAAAATGCCTATTCATGAAGTGAAAATTCTGGAAATGCAAGGAAACCACCGACATAAACTACTATCTAGACAGAAAATCTCATCCAACTTTCTCTCCTGAAAACGATTCTAAGCATGGCACAGAAGAATCCAAACCGACAATCATGACATGAAAACTTATTACTTGGGTGTGAGTATGAGTATGGTTGATTGAGAGATATGACTAATCCTACATGCGCATACTCTATTGGATCCAGTTCTATTTCGTAAATGTTAACGGTTCGAATAGTGAGGAAAGAAAAAACAAGACATACATTTTTTTGTTGAACTTTCCGATTCCGAATAAATAATTATTCGCAAAAATGATAAATACTATCTGAAGCTTAATCAAAGAGGTTTTATATTCATTTTTCCAGTTTGTTTTTGTATTTTCTCTCGTTTCTATAAAATTAAAATACGAGTGTTATTTCAATATACCGGCTCACACAGGATATCGGGCCACCCGGGTATTTTCTGTCCTAAACGGATTTTTCTGAAATTTGGTACAATTATACACTGTGTCCAAAATAAGAGGATGTCTATCATGGAGATCTCGGAAACCATAAGAGATACGAAGATGGTTAGATTAGAGAAAAGTTGCGTATTTTTGAGCCTAACAATAAGCCGTTTGAAAAATTTCGAAATGCCGAGTATTTCCGGAGATATGTAATGTGATCAAATCCGAAATAGTTGCTTTCATAACTGTACCAAATTTCAGAAAAAATCGTTTAAGAATGCCGAATAGTCACAGCGGTGGCCCGATACACTGTATCACTCGGTGTGTAGTGAGGACAAATCAGACGATTCGCCCCAAAATCGCACTGCCTTTAAAAATGTTCCTATCATAGAGCCTGCAAGAAAAATGCATTCGATTGTCAGTGACACTTTGTTTTGAAAAACGTTTGAAGAAGAGAAAAAATAGGTATATTGAAAAAATATCAGTTATTCACTTTTCTTTGGACGTTTCGGGAAGCGATTTTCCTAAATATACTGCACGCTAGCACAAACCACGCCCACCATAATACGTCATATCTCCAAACATTACCGATATACTCGGAGTCAGCACATCGCACTAAAATATACTGTGCTCCAACGCAGGAATACACTTTTTATGATTTTGACACGAATTCGACTGAACCTCTCTCGTTGTCAATCTCTTGTACGCAGTAGTTTCATACACCCAAATGGTCTACTGGTTAGCGCTGTCGACTCTCAGTCTGAAGGTCCATGGTTCGAATCGCTGTGAACTTGAACTTTTTTTTGCAACTTTTTTTTCACCAATGTTTTTCTACTTCATTCTGGTTTTCCTTTTTCATAAAATATTTGAAGTCAAATAGGTTAGTGCGTTTAGGATAAACAGTCTCATTTTATTCAATTTTGTTGAAGAACTCAACTTTTGAAATACATTATTAATCAATGTGTTTCTACACTCCATTCGGTTTTCCTTCCTCAAAAATATTGCAATCAGGGATAGGTTAGTTCGTTGAGGATAAATAGTCTCTGAGTTTTGCCTAAGTAAAGTACTTTGAAGATGAGATATAACTATAACGGTGGGTGTGGTTTGTGCTAGCGTACAGTATATTTAGTAAATACGCTTTCGGGAAAGTATCTGCTCCCGTTTTCAATATAATAATAGAAAATATCATTCTTGCAAATTTTCTTGAATGCAATTACATTTTGTTGTTCTCACTGCATGTATACTTATTGAAATAATACTCATATTTTTTTATAGAAACTAGGAGAGAAAATCCCAAAAAATCTGGCAGAACACAAAAATGCTGTTCAGATGTGCATGTTTTTTTGAAACCCTTCATACGAATTTTATGAAAATTCACATATGGGAGTTGGAAACCATGAAGAACAATATTATGAAGTTGGTTTTCCTGCAAAATAACACTAATATGATTTCATAAAATATTGACCCATTTTTATTTCAATAAAAACGCACGGCACTGTCCAAAATTATCTTTGTCTCTGAGAAACTGATCATATTGATGGTTGTTCATACCAGTCCAAATTTGGTAAGAATCGCACGAATAATACCTGAGATATAGAAGGGAGGCTATTTAAAGTAACACAAGCTCTATACTAGTGGAAAAGATTCGTTGTCAAAAATTGTGAATAAATGGCCGCCACGAATGTTTTTCTCAGAAAATTGTGACAGGGAAGCTGAGATTGCACAATGAGGAAGTTGCCAATAGTGAAGTTTTTATCTCACTGTGAAGTTTGTGAAATTTTATTTCTGACCGGGATATTATATGCTTATATCATCATCGTTATGCTATCAATAAAGAGGATCATAACTCCCTTCGGACATTATAGATTCTATAATTCTCTCTACCTATGCAGCTTGCATTGTAAAAAATTTGTAAAATTGTTGTAAAATTGTTTTATCCGTCATTCGGTTGCCCCCTTACGAGCAACGAGCAACCCTCAGAAGTCTACATTATAACTATATCATAACATAACAGCAATGGGATATAATAGGTTGTTTTTCTAATCCTACTTCGCGGAGTATTATGAATAATCTTCATAAATCTTTTATTTGGTATTACTAATGAAGGATCATCATGATATTTTCCAATAGTATCTATGGTATTTCACTTTCGTTTTATTACAAAATGATAATCATAATTTGTCAGGCAATATTTTGCAAATAAACTCGTTCCTTTATGAAATGGATCTATTTTATAGGAAAGTTCCCGATTATATCTTGCAACAGCGCATAATACTTTGAGCTTGTCCACACCACACAAAATACTAACAGGCACACCGACTGCTGATCTGATATTGTGGTTATGTATGTTTTAGTTTACCAGTTTCACCTGTGCCTATTTTTGATCTTCAGTTATTCGTTAGCATATATGCGTATAGCATAGTCTACAGTTCATAGTTGTTTTGTTAGGTGATCATCGCTATTTTTAATTATATAAACACCAATAAGGACGCTAAGTTGTCTTCTTCTTCTTTTTTTATTCGTTGGCTATTCGCTAGCTATATTCTTCATTATCAGCTATGTTCAGACTAGATTACAGAATGTACGTCACAGTTGGCCGCTACGAAAATTGGAGATTGCTTTATTTTGAAAATAAAAACGACTTGGACTTTATGGATCGCCATTCTGTACAGCATAGACATGAAACTGAGGAGTTCCGAACTCATTTTATGAAAATTCATCTGAAGGAAACTCCAATCAAATCTAAACGAAATCTTCAGCTTTCAGATTTTTCCATAATTTTGGCAAATACCTGAATCATACATAAAATATTATAAATGCCTAATTACATACATCTATTCTAATCCCCTCGATAGTATTTCCTGTAAAATCGGTTTCAATTTATTGCGATTGTACAAAAAATCATATCAATCTCTTATCACTGCACTATTAATTGATAAGCATAACTAACTAAAGCTACTGACTTATGACTAATACCCTGTATAGGATAGGAAAAGAAGGATAACGAAAACAATACAGCAATTTTCCGAGAAAAAAAAAACTTACGTGACATGAGATTCTTGAACAGCCTATAATCCTTTTCAGTATAATATGATTTGACACGATCCCCTCCTTTTTCCAGAATCTTAATCAACCTAGCCAATATCCTTGCTGCATCTGGCAATATCCTCGGAAATATTTTCTTTAAGTATTGGCATTCCAATTTATGTACTGACCAGCCTTCTTTTTGACACGCTCTTCCACAATAGTAGACATACTGACAAGAAGAGCATTTCAATAGTTCTCCGCTACGACGAGAATGAATCTAAATTATTACTCAGTTCATATATGTATCCTAGGGTCTCTTGATGTAAATTGACGTATTTGTCATCTTCACAGGGTACGGACAGATCACAGCTCCTTTCTCTTTTAATGATCTAGTGACTTTGATTTCGTGTATTGGCGACCCTGACATGACATTGCTGTCACGTCACATTCATAGGCGTTGAAAAAAATCTTACAAAATTTCAATTAGTACTTAATCTTGAAACATTATTCAATTCTGTTTTGGATGGAATGTGAAATGTGCTGCTTTAGGATGTATCCAGTTGAATGGCGAATTTGAATTTGTCAGCTTTCCAACAAATGCAAATGAACTTAAAACATGGAAAGTGAAGACACCAAATTGGGAAAATTAGTGAATACATCAGTAAAATATGCGAGGTAAAATTAATACGAAATCACATAAATAATATACATTCTCATTGTGCATAATTATCCACTCCCAAGTTTTTGCATGCATTTTAGTAGAAACAGTTTAAATTGAAACGGAGGATTGAAAGAAGGGGCATATGCCCTGCCATTTAAAAAACTGCAAAAATGATACCCAACATGAATATATAAATAAACAGCATACATGACATATGAGCACATTACCTACATCAAAGTTTTCACCATTTCTCAACCATAAGGCTTAGTCTGAAATCAAAATTCATATATTTATAGGTACAGCATAAGAACAGTCCCACTTCGTAAAACATATTAAACTTTTAAAGAAAATATGCTCAATGCCTCACAAGGATTATGATAGAGTTGAAAGATCAAAAGCTCAAAAATTATTGATCACTATTTGGATATAATATGTAGAGTTCAATCAGGAATTCCATGTGGAAATTACGCATGATACGCCAATATCCTCAATATTACCTAAAAAACAACAAATGTCAGAAATCTAGAGTTTATCTCCAGAATTGAATAAGGATGGAACTATATAACTGTTTCACAAACACTTTAGAGTGAGAGGAGACAAGGATCTGTCCGTACCCTTTTATGACAAATACGTCAGTTTGCATCACGGAACCCTAGTCATATCCAATTGATTAATTCGGCATATATTTTTCTACGAATTTCTCGTCTTCAACGTATGAAAAGGAATGTTCTCAGATATATTATGAACATAAAAAATATGGATATACAGGTTGATTCACATAAGAACCGACATAGAGTAGGGGCAGTAGGGGGTCCCAAAATATGGAAATTTAACGCAACTTACCTCTATACCGAGTTGCTTCCCTAAGGAGTTGTAGGCTTTCAAAGTAAATTTATAAATTTTGAAAAAAATCAATATCTCCGTTATTCTTGAACTTAAAGCAACCAAATTTGGTACCCTTTGTGGATGTATTTAGGGCAATACTTGACAGTAACTAAAGTTCAATTGAAATTTGTGAAGGGGGTATACCGGGTGGCGCACCATTAATATTCAACAGAATTTTGTTAACCCTCGATGGATTTAAAAAATCTTTTTTTGTTTTGTTTTGTGGGCAGTTCAATTCTAAAACTTTTCTTAGTCTAGTAATTTCTCGAAAAACCTCATCATTTTCATCAAAAACTCGAATAACTGAAAACGCGTGCTCTAGAGGTAACGTCAAACTTGACAATGAAGCAAGCAAGGTGGATAGTATATCTATATTTTGTTACGTATCTAAATAATAATTTGCCAGCCAATTTCTACTGATCACAATAATTAATGACCTACTTTCTTGTTGTACATACGTTTATTTTCATAGCCAACTTTTGAATTTTCGATGATTTTAAATAACACACCTAGAGCGCGCGTTTTCAGTTATTCGAGTTTTTGATGAAAATGATGAGGTTTTTCGAAAAATTACTAGAGTAAGAAAAGTGTTAGAATTGAATTGCCCACACAACAAAGCAAAGATTTTTGAAATCCATCAAGGGTTAACAAAATTCTGTTGAATAATAATGGTGCGCCACCCGGTATACCCCCTTTACAAATTTCAATTAAGCTCTAGTTACTGTCAAGTAACGCCCTAAATACATCCACAAAGTGTACCAAATTTGGTTGCTTTAAGTTCAAGAATAACGGAAATATTGATTTTTTTCAAAGTTTATAACTTCACTGTCAAAGCCTACAACTCCTTAGGGAAGCAACTTGGTATAGAGGTAAGTTGCGTTAAATTGCCATATTTTGGGACCTCCTACATGCCCCTGCTCTATGTCGGTTCTTATGTGAATCACCCTGTATATACAAAAATACATTGAGATATCGCATTCTCTCTGTGATGAATATATCAACTCTTTATCGGTATATTCAACAGAATATCAATTTTCATTTCGATACTGATTGTATTGGTAAGAAATATTTTTATATCATTATAATAGTAATTTATGTAATAAGGATCATAAAGACGATCATTGTGGTACAAGTCGTGAATGTTATCGGGCGAGGCGTAGCCGAGTCCGATAACACGGCGTGTGCCATAATGACTGTTTATGATTCGTATTACATACAAAATTTTATCTGATGGCATTTATATCAATACATTTTCGAAAAATTAAAAACTGCATTTTCGACATGTCACAATGACAACTATTTTTGAAGGAGTAAGTATTGTGTAGTTTCAAATATTAGTAGGTGAGTGAGCTGTGCTTTGCCATTATATTAATATTACAAATTGTAGTAATTGTTCTTTTACCATTTATAATAAATAGTTTTGTACATAGTTATGCATTTTGAATAAACTTTTTTGATCAAACCATTACATGTTTTCCTTATAGAATTTCATTATGGTACTTAGTACCATAATGAATTCATTATGGTACTTAGTCCCATAATGAATTCATTATGGTACTTAGTCCCATAATTAGCTTCCTTATGTCATCAAAATTGAGTGACATAACGTTGTCATTATGACATGCCATCAGATAAATTATATTATTTATCAGATTTGAAAAAGATTGATAATTCTCAATTTCATAGGATTTTTATTTTCATGTTCTCTTTTTGGATGTTTAACAGATATAATTCAATGTTCGACGTGGCAAATATCCAGGAAAGTAGTTGTTTCCTGTTGAATATTCAGAATGATATTATGTGCATGCATGTTTTTCTGAAGGAGAAGATTTTATTTTCAGATTCTTATCATGTGTATTCAATATATACAGAGTGTATCTGAATAACACCGAAAAAATTCAAGGGCCGATTCCTTGTGATATTTTAGGAAATAAAGTTCATATGGACATGTGTCCTAACTGGCTTCGTTTTCGAAATACTGGGTATCAATATTTCCATGAGAAATCGTTTTTTATGTTATTACTCAATTGTCTTTCCATCAATTTCAATAAAACGTTGTGGTTATGTTAATAGTAATATGCTTTTTCTGGTGCAATTAGATTCGAAATAATATTTCCAGTGGCGTCACAGTGAAAAAATGTATCGATATTTATAGTGAATGTCATTGTACTCCACGGGTTAGTCTGAGTTTCATATTTTTATTAGATTGAACTATTGAAATAACAACTATTTGATCCTTTGTGTAATTTTTGTATCTAGCTCACTTTTTGAGAAAACAATAAAAATTCGATTTGACTCTAAATTTTACTGTAGGTGTTTTCAAGACTACCATTGAGATTACTCAAGAACCTCAATCACAATCATTTTGAAATTTTAGGGCTTCCTCAGTCTCCAACCATACTGAATTTTGGCACCATGAAAACTTATACAGGGGGATTATAAATAAACACAATCAATACTTCCAACTTCAACATCCTGTATATCAAAAATGGAGCAAGTTAGGATACATGTTTATATGAACTTTATTTGCTAGAATATCACAAGGAATCACCCCTTGAATTTTTTCGGTATTATTTAGATATACAGGATATATATAATGCTCTGTTCGTCGAGGCATATAGCCAGGAAAGTAGTTGTTTTTAGTTGAATATACCGATGAAGAGTTGATATATTCATCACAAAGAGAATGCGAATTCTCAATGTATTTCTGCATAATTGCATTTCTACAGAACAGATACACGCAGAGTATCAGAAAAAATGATCCATTATTGTGATATGTATGTTTTAAAGCAATCCGCATAAGATCCTATCTCACATCCACAATACTTTGTATCGACCTTTGGAACACTCATCAGTATCAGATCAGATTATTAACACTTTTCATTTTATTTTGCCATTGATAACTTTTATTCAGTTATACATAACACCGTGTCCCAGCTAAAATGTCCCCCCCTGTAAAAAATCAACCGTGCAATTGAATGACTTGAAATTTGATCACCCAGTATATTTGATGATGCTCACTCGATATATGCTATTGAATAAATCGAAGGTATACAGGGTCACACCGAAGTGCACCTAAACTTTCTTATTTGAATAGGGACACCCAGTATATTATTCCATATTCAAGTAGAGTTCATTATTACAAATTCAACAATGCCGGGTTTGATGGAATTTTTTCAAACGACTACGAAGATATGGCAAAAAATGAAACGTATGAAATCGAATGAAAAGAGAATAATTAAAATCTAATAACCACCGATTGTCTCGATGGTGATAGCAACTGGCCAGCTCGGTCGCCAGACCTCACCCCACTTGATTTTACTTCCTGGGGCTACTTGAAACAACAGATTTATGAGTCGCCAAGTGTGAATATGGGAGAAATGAAAGAGGAAATCACAAATTTATACGCACAAATTGATCGCAACGTAATACATAGGGTCACAATGATGAACGTTATCAAAAGAGCTAGGAAATGTTTGCAGCAGAATGGACGACATATTGAGCAGTTGAGGTTTTAATTATCTTCTTTTCATTCGATTTCAATCGTGTGATATCAATGAAATCTAATCATATATAAATTTTTTATTGAATCGTTTTATTTTTCGTCATATCTTCGTTGTCGTTAGAAAAAATCCCATCAAACCTGGCATTGTTGAATTTGTAATAATAAACTCTACTCGAATATGGAATAATATACTGGGTGTCCCTATTCAAATAGAAACGTTGAGGTGCAGTTCGGTGTGACCCTGTATATCTACGATTCATTCAATAGCATATTTCGAGTGAGCATTTTCAAATATACTGAGTGACCGAATTTCAAGTCATTCGATCGCGCGGTTGATTTTTTACAGGGGGGAACATTTTAGCTGGGACACGGTGTATACATACTTATACAATGTCCATTGTATGAGTCGTTAGAGATCAAATTGTATTCATACCATCACATAAAAAAACTTACTTTTTGAAACAAAAATCGCAGCGCGCCGTTCTGAATCTCGAGCACAGTGTGTACACGAAAGGCTTCTCTTCAAGAATAATACCACCCTGTGGAATTTCTTTCTTGATCAACATGTTCTTCGGCTCTGAAAATTCAAATTATTCGGTCAAACAGTCAAATGAGTTCTAGTCATGAGAGGCTTCACATAACTTCACGGTGCTCAACTATTTGAAGGTGAAAAGAATCATTTGGATACCTTTGGTCATATAAATGTGTTACCTATAACCTATTTATAAATTCAATTTATTTTTAGGGTAGGACGGATATTTTTGGATTGGATATTAGGCAATACTATTCCGTTTTTAACATAGGTATTATGAAACAGATACTGGGGGACCTTGTGAAAACTAAGAGTGGTAGTGTCTGTGGTTAATCGAGAGGGTGAAATATAAATTTCTGTAGATTTTTGAATTTTCTCCTTGTCTCAATAAATACCAGTATTTTTTCAATATATCTGTAATATTCATATGGAAATTTCACTGCGACTAAAATTTCTCAATTTTGAACCTGAGAAAAGAAAATAATACAGGGTATATGTTCATGAGTTAACGCGATCTATACAGGGTGTAATTTAATTGATTATAGGATATGGTTCCTCAGCTCATTTTAGGAAGAAAATTTCATATGAAAATATGCCCAAAACGTTTCAACTTTCGAGCTATGGAGTGATAAAAATCGTTTTCTTATCATATCTTCAATTCTGTTCTAGATATTTTCATGAAATTTGATATTTATTTATGTATTCTATTATGATTCATCCCTACAGACTACACGACAAGTATCATTACAGGAATGAAAAATATTATCAAGTCATATTAATACCAAGTTGGTAAAACTGCATTTAGCATGCGATGGGTTTTTTTTTTCGTAATTTTTTTTTGGTATTACGTATTTTTGTCTGAAAAACACGAATTTGACAATGATAATGTGGACAAACCACTAATTATCGAGATATTTCAAAAAAGAGTTCGAAATTTCGACTCCTTCTTCCCCTTGTGTTGGATGCATTTACAGGTACTTGCTCTTCTTATTTTGTCATTGGACACTTTATATACTCATGATGTACTTCAATGACACATTTTTATACAGAAAATTCAACAGAAAAATATGATTTTTATGGCGAGTTTTTCATATTTAGTGAACAAGCATACCAGATGACGGCCATTTAATTAATAGTCAATCCAAATACGAGATGTCAAATGTCAACAGAGAGTGCTTTTGAATGACATTACACACGCCATTATTTCAAATGATATTCTTCCTTCTTTTCACTAAATATGGATAAATCACAAGAAAATCATATTTCTACATCTTTTCCAGATGTATTTCGGAAAGCGTCAATTCAATTTCAGAAAGCATCAATTGTATTTCAGAATAGTCAATTGTATTTCAGAAAGCGTCAATTGTATTTCAGAATAGTCAGTTAAATTTCAGACAGCGTCAATTGTATTTCAGAATAATCAATTCGATTTCAGAAAGCATCAATTGTATTTCAGAATAGTCAATTGTATTTCAGAAAGCATCAATTGTATTTCAGAATAATCAATTCGATTTCAGAAAGCATCAATTGTATTTCAGAATAGTCAATTTAATTTCAGAAAGCGTCAATTGTATTTCAGAATAGTCAATTGAATTTCAGAAAGCGTCATTTGTATTTCAGAAAATATCATTTGAATTTCAGAAAGCGTCAATTGAATTTCAGAAAGCATCAAGATCGATTAGTTAGTAGAAAGTGCACTCCATGTAAGAATGCATAGGATGTTCAGTGTTTCCTGTAGTGATGTTTCAATTTATTCACCCCAATTTTTTTTATGTACCTTTGGGTACCTATATACTAATTGATGAACAGATTACAGAATTTCAGGTAAAGAGGGGACCATCAGAGATAAACTTCTCTCTATTGCTATGAAAAAGTTCTGATTTTTACATGTTTGTCCAATCGGAAGTGACTGGCTGTTTGCATGATACTGTGAAATAGGCTTCTCAATAACATTCACAAGATCAAGCTCTGTTGCTATGACGTGAATGTCAAGATATTTTCGCGACTTATAAAGTTGCCTGGCAGAAGAACACCCCGTGGAAAGTGTCTGGCAATTGTATATTCTCTTTCATGATAGGATCCGATTGAACATAAAAAGATCAGCTTTTGTTGAAATGTTTTTGCCAGTTTTTTTTTGTTACTTTCAACGCCCGGTATCTCTTGAATGCTCATCAAGCACTGAAGATTTTCAACCCCCAAAACGATTCCACCAAATAAGGTATAACACACATGGAAAATATCAACCTTGTTGAAATGGCGTCTGGCGGTCGCTGGCTTTCAGTCTATCGAGAACGATTTCTGAAATTCAATTGACTATTCTGAAATACATCTAATGCTTTCTGAAATTCAATTGACGCTTTCTGAAATTCAAATGATACTTTCTGAAATACAATTGAAACTTTCTGAAATTCAATTGACTATTCTGAAATACAATTGATGCTTTCTGAAATTGAATTGATTATTCTGAAATACAATTGACGCTTTCTGAAATTGAATTGACTATTCTGAAATACAATTGATGTTTTCTGAAATGCAAGTGACTATTCTGAAATACATTTGACGCTTTCTGAAATTGAATTGACTATTCCTGAAATACAAGTGACTATTCTGAAATTAAATTGACGCTTTCTAAAATACATCTGGAAAAGGTTTAGTTGACTCAATAATAGAAAAAAACAGTCAATCGAATTCCAGAAAGCGTCAATTGTATTTCAGAATAGTCAATTCAATTTCAGAAAACATCAATTGTATTTCAGAAAGCGTCAATTGAATTTCAGAAAGCATCAAGATCGATGAGTTAGTAGAAAGTGCACTCCATGTAAGAATGCATAGGATGTTCAGTGCTTCCTGTAGTGATGTTTTCAATTTAATCACCCCAAATTTCTTTTTTATGTACCTTTAGGTGCCTATATACTATTTGATGAACAGTTTACAGGATTTGGGAGCATCTCTTTGCACCCACATCTCGTTGGGGCCACATTTCGTTGCAGCCACATCTCGTTGCAGCCATATCTCGTTGGAGCCACATTTCGTTAGGCTCACAGTCTCCGAACGTACCCGAACGATGCGCTGTTGCCACATATAATTCAAAAATCTCGATTATACTGAAAAGGTTATTGTGGCCCTAACGAGACACTCTCATCTTGATCAATCCACGTTTCTTGCAAGCTACTTTTCATTGCACACACATCTCGTGGGCCCATTTCTCGTTGGAGCCACATTTCGTTTCAGCTACATCTCGTTGCAGCCACATCTCGTTGGGCCCAGATTCGGCGACCCGGGTTCAATGCCTGAGACGGTCGGCATTTTTTTATTTTGTTGTCTCAAGTGATTTTCCGAAAAGTATATTTTTAGGAAGAAGGTTCATTTAGGCCGAGTAAGGTTAGTTGGTTTTGAAAAAGTAGTGTCCTTTTTTATGCAGAGGGATATTTTCCTTCCTGAAAAAAGTACTGTCTTTTTAGGAAGAAGGTTCATTCAGGCTGAGTAAGGTTAGATGGTTTTAAAAAAGTAGTCTTCTTTTTTATCCTTCCTCGCTGAAAAAAGTACTGTGGAGGCATTTACTGTGCTGTTGAGGCTGATTGTGATTTGCTATTTCAATGATATTATTTCAGGATCGGTCGTGAGCGAAGCTTATGGCCGGAAATTTTCTATTAACTTGATTCTGCACCAATTAAGGGTATTGGTTATTTATTTTACCTGTGGCTCCAACGAGATGTGGCTGTAACAAAATGTGGCTTCAACGAAATGAGGCTCCAAGGAGATGTGGGTGCAACGAAATGTGGCTTGAACGAGATGAAAGTATACGGCAATGTCTCCTTAGAGCCATTACAATCACTAAGTTTTTACTGCAAATCAATTTGTTATTCTCAAATATGAAAACAATTTGTATCCTGTACAAGGATGATCCGCCTGACCTCCTCTAGTATTAATGGAAGGATATTATTCTACTGTTTTCGAAGTACCTACATGGAATATCAACACTCAATTTTGAATTTTTTTTAAGATATATCTTAAATATTTCATGGTCTTCAGATATTTCTGTCTGTCTTTAAACACTCTGTGGCCTGAACCGGTTCTCTTCCTGACCAGAACTGGTAAACAGGTGGCCACAACTCGCAAACTCCAAGAAATTCCAGGAAATTCCAGGAAATTCCAAGGAAATCCAAGGAATTCCAATAAATTCCAAGTAATTCCAAGGAAATCCAATGAATTTCGAGGAAATCCAAGGAATTCCAGTTGTTTGAACACCAGAAATATACCACACTTCACAAAAAGAATTCCAAGAAAATAGAAGGAATTCCAAGGAAATCCAAGGAATTTCAAGAAATTCCAGGTATAAACCAACCACACTTCACCCAAGGAATTCCAGGGAATTCCAAGGAAATCCAAGAAAATCCAAGGAAATCAAAGGAAATCCAAACTCTCAGTGTCCACAAATGGTGAATAATTTTGTTTTGCTTTTGTTAATCTGTGACTGTGGCTACAAACGGTGCATGGTGCATCATTTGTTCTGTATTTACTATTTTGAATATTTCTTACCCCATGAAAATTATTCTGAATATTGAATTTTCTGAGCTAACCAATTTAGCTCAGTCTGCTCCACATATTAAGAATAAAAATAGTATGGCTCCGGAATGATGGAAAACTTGAAAAACGGTTATTTAATTATTCCTTCACTTTTTGTTTTGTTATAATTTGGTATTATTTATTATGATATGATAATGTTGATGAATGAAATCCAAAGCCTAATGCCTAACCGCACGTTTACGTACGAATAGGGATAGCCCTAACTATAGGTACGCTTACGTACGTATAGGTGTTTCGGCGTTTTAGACACTTTCACATCTGTTGATCTGTTTCGGCATTTCAACTATCTGAAGACGGCTGTGGCATTCAGGAAAGATTCACTTGTAACAGTATTCGTTTATATATACGATTCAATGCATAGATTTTGGGAGGATGTAATTCAATGTTCTGCGTGGCATTCGCCAGGAAAGTAGTTGTTTTTCTCCCGAACATTGTGTAGATATGACTGAGCTTTATGTATTTATTCAACATTTCATTCCACTTTGAGCATTGTGGCTATTTCGTAGTTAAAATAAAATATCTACAAGCATCACAAGTTTTTAAATCATATCGAATATTCAAAATATCATTGAAACGTGGCAAGTGGCGCAAATGATGAAAACTAACCCTGTCGTCTGTCATTCTCTTATCTGATTATCTCTTTTTGTCTCGTATGTTTCAATGTGAATCAATCATATCCGTCGTCACCAATTCGTATGATCAGAATATCACCGTATAAAAGTGCGTATAAACCGCTATGACTATGTTGAAAACGCTAGAATTCCGACACGTCGCAAATCAGGTTAAAATGTTGCATTCACCTACCCTAAAAACTCTAGATTTAGCGACAAAATCGCTAAGATGGCAACCCTGTGAGCGACCTGTTGCTCATTCATGTAGTGCTTGGTGCATACCAGCATGTGCCAGCATGCCGCAATCAATGCCGCAATAAGAGACAAGAGTCTAACTTGCTAACGGAGGAGCCGCCGAAATTACCCGTACGTACACCGAGAGACGGCAGTGATGCCAAATCAGTCAATAATTCGTAGAATCAAGTCTACATGAAATTTTCTGAATAAAAACAGCACTGAAATCGAATATGGGGAAGGAAAATATATTTTCTGCATAACCATTGAAAAGGAGTTTACCTACCTTTCCCAAACACCTAACCTAACACGTCGGCCTAAAATAACTTTCTTCCTAGAAAGTATGTTTTTCGGAAAAATTACTTGAGAAAACTAATTGGAGATTTATAAAAATGAGACTGTTCATCCTAAACGCACTAATACCTATTTAACTTCAAATATTTTCTGGGGAAGGATAACCAGAATGAAGAGAAAAAGCATCGGCGAAAAAAAAGTTGTGAAAAAAGTTCAGGTTCCCAGCGACTCGAACCATGGACACATATGTCAATCACATTGATATAAAATAGATTTGGCATAGCTGAGAGTAGAGCTGAGAGTATGCCTGAACGTTCCTCCACTGACGCGCAGAGGTGGCTGGTGTTAGCCAAGGAATATGAGAGGATATGTGAGGTATTCGTCGCAGTGACCTATCTCCTAGGGCTAGTCCCTTTATATAGGTAATCTCGCCGAAGGTACCCAAAGGGTTGGGGGAGTTGCTCGTGCGCGATCAGAGTGGAAAGGGTTTCTTAGGTGTTGGAGGAAAAATAAAATTGAAGAAATAAAAAACCTCCTTCTTGTTTCTCTCGGGCAGTTGTGCGCATGTGTTTCCATATGAGCACTTCTGCCCGAGTTCAGTGTCATTCATTGACACTTTGTTGTCTTCATGCTTGGGATCGAGATAGTGCTCTCTCTCTAGACTCTCCTCGGTGGCTCGGACATGTCCGAGCATCCGGGGAGGTTCCCGACTATAGATTATATCAGGCTTCCTAAACACATCGGTTAATGCATATGTCAGCCCGTGTTCTTTGTGGATGTTATGGTGTTATCTAAGTGTTGTGATATTCCGGGTGAGGTAATTTCCAGCGATGTGGTATTTGTAGAATCTATTCGCTATTTTGAGTAGGTATGTATTCGCGCACTGATTCTGGGAAATTCCCACATCTCTCGTGGAGATCTGCTGCCACTCGAGAGTATCTATCACTATTGGTGATAATACGGAGTACTTTGTTCTGCAGCACCTGTATAACCTGTAACCTATTCATATGAGTAGGTGAGATGCTGCAGAATACACTGGACACGCGTACGTCATCACAGGTCTGATGATCTGCTTGTACACCAAGGACCTTGTTCTCCTGCGAGAGAGGGGAGGTCCTGGCTAACAAGGGATACATCTTCTTAATCGCAGACTGCGTTTTTTGGATTGAATAATTGGTATTTTTCCTGAGACTCATACGGGTGTCCAATTTGACCGAGAGTCGACAGCGCTAACCACTAGACCGTTTGAGTATATGAATACACTGCATAGACGAGAATGACAACGAGAGCGCTTCAGTCGAATTCGTGTCGAAATCGGATCACGCATCAGGCCGTTACCACCGATAAAACAAGGCCTGCATGCTCCGTGGGTGACGTCACTTAGTCAGGCCTAACCAGCGGCTCGAAACGACAAGCGCTTATAGCGCTATAAGGCGACCGCGTATTTCGATTTTAGTTTTAGATCATTATTGCTCAGCCGTCAACTGAGCCCTTCTTCGCATCCCATTCGATTTTATTATGGAAAAACGAAGTTTCAAAGCAAAAACCAGGATAAAACACAAATATCCACCTACAGCAACCCATTCGAATTAAATATACCTATTGGCAAAAATTGTGGTGGTGAAGGTAAACTTCACAGCTACTTATACAGGGCCCGCAGAACATAAACTTATCGTGAGATTGATCTATTTATGACTCTCTTTATTAAAGAAAAAATCATGAGGTGATCTATTTTTGATGTTGGACTTATATGAACAACTTCTTTCACATTTGACATAACGCTTGCTATCATGAAGACAAATGCGGAATTTGCTAAACATGAATTATTAAATGCCGTTCCTACAATATTGCCTGCCTTGTAATCTAAATATGGCTTTATATGAACTTCATCCATCATTAAAATGACATATTTTTCACGCTCACCTAATAACTTAAATACATTTTCTGCATGAGATAACGACATTTGTCTTTCTTCGAATGTAGGATCTGTTAACAACGAACTACATATTGATTTGACTTTACCTGAATGAGGTAATATGAGTACTCCAAAATGTCTTAAAAATTTATACGCATGTGGACTTATTGTATGAATTATAGAGGCTAAAATTATAGTACTATTCGAATGACGATATCGTTCTTTGCAGGATGTATGTAATTTAATTTGCTCAGAGAGGAACAATAAAGCTGAAGTGTTTTCGGAATCTTCATCAAGATCTGAAACCGAGTCAGAAACCAAAGAGTCCGATGCATTCGAAATATGTTTCAAAACCCTCTTTTTCTGATTATCAAGACATTTTCCCGAATTATGTATCTCGTTTTTATCTATTTCAATTAGTAATTCCTTGATTTGATTGATATTATTAGAGATAAAAGGTGTTTTCAGATTGGCTTTTAGAGATGTTTGTATCGCTAGGTCATACAAAAATGATTCCACATTCAAAACAAAATCAATCACAACCGAATATGTAATTACGGGCCCTGGAGAATAAGACAATTTGAATAATGTGACTTTTTGCAAATCGATAATTTTGAACCACTTTTCGGGCAACTGAAAAGACTCTAATACAACTAGAAATTCTTGAAATTCCTGTGTGGCAAAATGATTTTTGGTAATTTTCGAATTCAGTTTTACTTTTGGTAAGTGCTTGTGCCAAATTTTTAGTCTCTAGTATCTCAAGTTTTTCATCACGACTTGTGCGTAATTTTACATCTTTCGATAAATAAGATGGACAGTTGGGAAATTGACTGGGAATAACATCTCGTTTGAGCCTAGGAATTTTCAAATCTATTGTTACAGTTTTGCCAGTTTTTGAATCGGTTGCAGTAGATGAAGTAATAATATCATCTTTAGTAAGATGTAATTCACATATACTTTACTGTACTTAGATGGAGTCGTAAAATCCTTGCGGTGAATTGCATGTACCCACTTTTTCGATAGTTCCTTGTCCGACGGGAAACTAAAAGCATGAACTTTTGGACCACCCACATAATTCCCCCGACAAAAGGGAACACAACACTTGTAAGGCATTGTTATTTCGCCTATCACAACACGAAATATTTCACAAAACAGTAATTTCTCCGCCAATTATTTTGAAGAATAAACAACAAGAGAATTCGAGCACACGCGATTTACCTACGCCACCGTTCTTAAACAAAAACAAACTGACGATCGATCGACGCGAATGCCTTGGAAGATGGCCTGAGTATGCGACGTCACGAGCTGTTTACGTCAGAGTCTGCTGGCCTTGTTTTATCGGTGGTAACGATCAGGCGCGACCGAAAGAAATATCCCTTCTGCATAAGAAAGAAGAAAGGAGGCCACTTCGGAGGTCAAAACCACTCAAAACATAAAAGACATCGAGAATAAAAGTAAATCAACAATAACAAACGTGCATCACTTGGCATCACTGCTGTCGTTCGGTTTTATTTCGGCGGCTCCTCCGTTAGCAAATTAGACGGTTGCATACCGCATACCCGTTTGGTGTGACTTGTTCTCTTGTTCATAAACAAAAACAAACTACACTCTAACTTGTGAGAGCGTGTACACGATATTTTTTACCCACGTGTGCACGTCTGTATGTACCATATGTACGTATGTGTGACACATAGCCAGAGCTGAAGATTTTTACTCATTCATGCAATTATAGATTTAACTATCTGAATATAACTTCAAATATTAACTAATAATTTTGTGGCTGCCGCAAACATTCCTACGTCTACGAATGTGCCGTATGAAGGAATAAAGTACTAAGGTAAGTTAATTTATTCAGCGTACATTTTAGGTGGGTTTGTTATAGTACAAATAAGTAATGTTACGAATTCTAAAGGCCTAAGTAATTAAATTTACTCATTGCCAAAATGATCCATTTAGCTGCTACAGATGACGTTGAAAATGTTCACCTTACTTACTTATACGTGAGCGGCAATATTATGGAACAAATTCATTCGATTTTTTTTGCTCCGGTTTTCATGATTCATTTATACAGGGTGGCTCAAAAATAAGTTTTACGATGATCAACTTATTTTTTTTTAAATGGAAACACTAATTTTTTATTCAATTTTTGAATTCGGCGTAAAATTTTATAAGTATATTTTATGTATCGCACCATTGAATTTGTTTGAAAAAATGAAAATGATGATGGTCGTACCTCC